GCGATTTATTTAAGTTAGACCCACCCGTCCCCCCGTTCTAGTTGAGCTCAGCCCTTCAAGTCAACCGTTCGAACAAGGAAGAACGGGCTCCATTTTGGGTGGGACTAACAACAACGACCACATCCGAAGAGACCGAGAGGAAAAAATACACATTTTATGCCGGTGTAAATGCGCCAAAACAACCCGCACATTTAATTTATATCAACAGAAAGATCGTCTGTCAGTCGAGCGATAGAAGTGGCCGTGGGGCAATTCCTAGTTTTCTCACATTTTGTGGAAAGGGTGGAAGTTGTTCTTACCTCAGAATGGTAGCAGCAGAGATGGCTGCGTTGCATATATTAACATAATCTGCCTAGCAACACGCGCGGACGTGGCTTGTGATTGGTTGTTGTTTACTTTGGAGAAAAAGCGACATAATTATATTTTTAAACCTTGTCTTCACGACATATTTTTTATTATACACACGTCGGGGTTACATATTAAAATGTTGAAGCAGTTAATAATGTTACAGCCGGTGTGTTTATTGGTTGTGGTTGAAATTAAATGATCAATTTTAGGACAGCCAATCAGAAAATTGCACACAGAAGTCGTCCAATTAAATTGAACCTGTGGTCCAAAAAGGTTATTTGCTTTATGCTGTAATGTAATAAATAAATAAAAAATTCTGTAAAAAGAAAGTAATTAAACAATAATATAAGATGTCCCTGTATTAGTTCCACAACAGTTGCAGTGTTACAGCAGCAAAGGGGATATATAATATCTTGAATTTCCCTCAGGAATACGTAAAAGTTATCTATCAAATGCATCTAGCATCTAGCTCCCTATCGATCTATCCTCATCTACTCTCAGCGTCCATTATAGTCTACTCCATAACTAAATTCTATCTATCTAATAAATCAATAACAAGAAGCATCCATTGACAGTATATATATATAAGGAAGCAACTGTAAAACAAGCAGGATATAATAAATATATAGTAAAATAGCAATGTTTAATAAATATGATAAACAAACTGAACAGTTGAGTTCACATTTGTGCACAAGTAAATAGAAAAAACTGATTATTTATATTCTTTAGAGGTATCAATAAGGATAAATATGTGTAATTTTTCAATCTAACAATATAAAGCTTTGCACCATGTAATGCCATTTATTAACAGCCGTATAATAGATTAAAAACTCTCAACATCAAGTCCAGTAATCAAAGGTTTAGGTTGTTTCTTTCGAGACAGAGAGGATGGTTCAAGTAGATTTAGTCCATTATATCCTCTAGTATATTATATATACTGTCAATGATTATATCTTAACGGCTCTGACTGTATATAAAGATGTACGAACATGACAACTCCCCAAAAGTGAAGAGAAAACATCTCGATCGCCTCCTGGTGGCTGGCTGCAGGATAAGTCAGAACCCGGCTCCCTTCATGTTAGATGGGACCATTGACAGTAGGATGGGGACATTATGTATCACCCTCGAGTGTCCACAACCAGAAACTACACATTAAATTTGTTAAACTAGCATCAGTGCAAACATAATAGCATTTTCAAATATGAATAATTTCAAGGAACATGGAGGTGAAATATGCATTAAAACAGACAAAGGCCTACATATAACTGATGTAATGAGTATGTATTAAAGTTACAGAACACTGTTTTAGTCCAACATCACACACCGCCGGATCTACATGTTGAAATGTACACATACTCAGCTCCATTTCAGTTTCCCATTAGAATATTAGTATGTTATATTCTAAATTTCAGGTGGGCCTTCTTTTAGGTGGCTAAATATGTTTTTGCTCCACTGCAATAGATTGCTTCGCTTCCATTCAAGTACTAATGTCTGCTCCTCCAAGCTGGGGACGTGGCGACCGCCATCTACTGTAGTAACACACTGACTATAAGTACTTCATACAACCCTGCTTCAATAAATCCAAACTATCCCTTTAAGGCAGACACACTGAATACTCCAGAGGGATAATAGTTGCACAGTCATGATTAACTACAAACTCTGCAAAGAAAATCTAAATGTTTGTAGCTAAATGAGAATATGTGAGAGCATATTAGAGTATGTGCTGTTGCCTGTTGTGGTCTGGTTGATAATGCAGACCTCATAATGAAAATAAAATTGAGTCATAATGTAGACAAACTCCCTCGTGAATTAATTACCTCTAAACACACAGCAGTTCAGCTCCTGTAGTTTTAGCTGTAGCTTTGTTTCTCTGATTCAAATATGAAAGTTAAAAATGAAGCACAAGTTGCTCTTCAGTCTTATTATCAGATAAACATCCTGAAGCAGAACTGAAGGAGGTCAAAGAATGTGATTGTGTCCAAACTTAATCACTTCCTATAGTTTCCTGCCTGTTAATGCTCTGGGGAACCTCTGTTTGCACTTTTGTGAGGATTCATTTGGGGAAATCTAATGGATATCGTTGGATTTTTAGAGCTCGCTGTGAGTTTAATGCATTGATAATGACTACATTTCAGGTTCAGACTTTTTGGACTCGGGTGGCTTGAAGTATGTGTCTCAGCTTTCCATTTATTCCCAGTTCAAGCAATTCCAACACTGTTTATGGACCCCAGTTTGCAGAAACATTAAAAAGTAAGTTAGAAAGTCAGAAAACCTTCTGAGAGTAGAGCACCCTTATTATATTACTGTGTAGTATACTGCACTTATCACATTATGATTGTTTGGGATGAATCGAGGCTCTATTGAGAGTAAAATGATGTTGGACACCTTCAAATAAATTAACTAAATAAAAACGAGCCACACATTGTTGTCACATTTCTTGTTAAGAAAGGTTAAATGGACAATTTTGACCTATTCTCTTGACCTCTGTTACCTGGGAAGCTAAAATGAAAAGTTAATTCTCTTTGTCTTTTTTTCCAGAAGCGTTTTACTGAGGTATCCTGGGATCAAACTGACATGTCCCAAGATTAGACTTAACATGTGCAAATTGAACTCGTTCTAACACGTCTAACAGCTGATGTTTCAAAAATTAATAACCACTGTGAGTGCCCTGCCTGAAGCAAAGATAACATTTACATGATGTTTCTTTTTCAATAAGCCATCAGAGAGAAATACAAATGACAATCTGGAAAGAAAAGAAATGAGTTGGGAACAACATAATCAAATCACAAAAGGCTGATGGTGTGGTGTGTGTTGGAATTGCCCTATTAATACAGCCAATTGGACACAGAAAATTAAATCTTTTTTCACATTGCCTTCAAACAAAGAAATTGTTTTCTCTTGTTGGATCATTTACTCAGTCTTTTCTCCATATAAAATAAAAAATGTTTTTGTGTGTACAGCAAAAGAATAAAAAGCCCAATTCACAAAGATAACAAGTATCAAATGGGTTTCTTTCTGCAGGAAATAAAAATAAAAACAAGCAGGCGTTCCCTTGGGGGTACCTTACCTCTGCTAAACAAACCCTTGTGATATGAAATGATAATATATCCTTGTGATTAGCATTTCTTGTGCTTTTGCCCGATTGTTCGTGATGTTGCTGTGGAGAGCTAAATGTCTTTAACTGTAACATGCTGTGGTTGTATTTGTCTCCCAGTTGTCAAAGGGAAATTCTCCAAAGGATGATAAATGACAACTGTGAAACTAACTGTTGGACACATTATCATCTGCTTGTCTTTGTCGTCTTTGCAGTGGTGGGAGAAGTATTCAGAATAACCACATTATGACTACTACTAAGTGAAAGTCCTGCATTCATAATGTTACATGATAAAAGTACATAAATATTAACAGTAAAAAAAGTAAAAGCTCCTCCAGTGTGAAGAGTTTCTGCTTCACTGAATATCTTTGAGAAGATGCTACCGATTCTTTCCCTGCCTTATTTTTTATCTTATGGGTTAAACAATCAATTGAAATAATCCACCAATAAGTAATATTGATTAGTTGATGCCTTGTATGCGCTGATTGAATGTTTTTTTGTGTCAAATCTTTTTCAAAATCTTTCTAAAAAAGCAAAGTTTCACACTGAAATGGAAAATTCATTGACACAACAGCACCCATTGGGATTTTATATGTGGTCATACGTTTGAGACCTGCTGTCATAATTAACTTGTGGTGTTACTGAACCTTAAGTACAGTTTTAAAGTACTTCACAAAGAAACAATGGACCTTTTTACACAACTTCATTTGTTTGGCAGCTATAGTTCCTAAATGCTGATTAAGATTTTACAAACAAAACATAATTTTCTTAAATATGATGCACTGTATTCAGCACAGACCTCTGCTGATTCATCAACAAAAAGTAATTATTATTTACACATTAATGCATCGATAATAATCAAATAATAAAATATGTACTTATATACCTTCCACTCACGATAAGACATTTTTACTGCAACTTTTGATACATACTACTGATAATACTTTTACACATTTTGAATAATGGACTTCTACTTGTAATGGAGTGTTTTTAGACCACTTTTCACTGTGGTATATAACATATATATAGTTTATATTTTACATCAATGAGTGAGAAACAGGCTGAGGTCCAGTTTATTTAACTACATTATGAACTGTTGGGTAGTTTAATCCAGTACAATGCACTATAATTATCAACAATCTTTTTATTGAACAGATATGTTTCACATACATTACATTAATGCAATCAGTGCTCACTTTTATAGTCTACACCATTGTGCATGTGGCATTAAGGTTATTAGGAGAGCAAGTAATATTCAAACAAAGCAACATGAAGAACTGTTTAAAAACAAAAAGTGGTAAGAACTATCCATTGACGACAGCTATAAAAGAAATGGAGTTAAGTGCCATAAAGTTTTAATCTTCCGTGGATATGTGCTCCTTCCACCACAGCAGCTCATAAACAGATGTTATTATACAGGTATTATCAGGGTGGATGCTGCTGCAGCCGGCCGCCCGGTGGCGCAGTGCGCTGCGCTCTGCGTGGATCGGATGAACCGGAGGAGGGAGGGAGGGAGGGAGACAGGGGAGGAGGCAGCAGAGACAGAGCAGCCCCGCCACAGACCCTCAGTCCACATTTCCAGAGGACACCGACAGACACTCAGTCTCCCTCCAACATTTTCTGTCGAGCTCGGGTAACAAAACAAGCGGAGCAGGACTCGTGCCGCGCTCCGGGAGAGATTATCAGATTATTCCCAGGACTTGGTTTGCTCTTTATTCTCTCGGACGTCACTTTACACACATAGATCTCAGGATATAAGTTATTTACAGTAGCATAACCGGAGATCCTGGAAGATGGGTTCAGTCCCGGCGATATCTGTCCTTATTTTGGGCATTGTGGTTCCAGCGCTGGCCGGCTACATTGAGGTATGTAATGTGAAATGTTTACTGGTTTCTTCTGTGCCAGGTTGGAGGGACTTGGGTCTGAACACCAGTGTGTTTTTCTCATGCAAACGCGAATCTGTTCGGCCTATATCTTGTCCTCTCTTCACATGAGGTATTTATGGCTGAGCCCTGCTCATAGATTACACTATTTTATCTGGCTTGATGTAACTGTGTATTTATATTATAGGCTCTGACTTCTCCTCTCAGACTAGATTCGCACACAAGTAGCGGAATGGACCAGATTGATTGCAGTCAGTAATGTGAGAATTTACATAATACTTGTTTTTATATAGTTTTAAATGTTTTAAAACGTGTTTATGGAGGCTGATATCATATCAGATCTAGTTTTATATTAGCCTAATGAGCTTGCTTTCATTCTTGAGCACTGATGGCAGTTTGTTGGTGTGAGTTGAACAATGTGGGGCCGGGAGGTGCTCTACAAGAATTCTATAGCAGGGTTTGCTGCAGAGATCAAATGAAAGACAGCTGTCTCTTTGCCCGACCTTTGGGGGGGACACACAGGAGTTCTCTGCAATGGATCACAAACAGTATACAGCCAGCACTGTGTCTGCGTTTGCCGTATATTATAATGTGGAGTATTTTCTAAACAGAGATGGGGAAATCCTTTAAAACTCCAGCTTTTCCTGTGTCAACAGGATGGGCCCCCTCATATACTAGATCTATGATGCAGGCAGGCCCCTGTTCTCACTCAACAGTGTCTTTTAATGTCTTGTTTTGACAGGTTTGTAGATCTGAACCACTTTAAACTCCCAGTTAGATGCAAATTGTAGATGCGCCTGTACAAACACTCCCACTCACACACGTGCACACACTCCTTACCTTCCTGACGTCCTGTTTTCCTGCTGGCTCACCAGTTATTGTCCCTGGACACTGATGCCTGCAGTGTCAGACTTGTGTGTCATCGGATAACAGTGCAACCCTTTTCAAAGCAAACAGCCCCCACCCCCTCAGAGGGTAAACACAAGTGTTCCTGCTCACTGTTGAAGCAACCATGACAAAACATTTTAACAAGACATCTCCTCCTGGCACTGTTGTGCGCAGTGCAAAGTGGTTATCAGGGAATGTTTCTCTCTCCCTCTCTCCTGCATTTGCGACAAAAACCTCGGCCATTTTGAGGCAGTATTGGCTGGCATTGTGTGGGGGGAAATAATGGTTATTATTATGTCCCCAACAAAATCTATTCGGCTGCACTCTCTCTCTTTACAAAGACCTGTCCCCTCTGCAGTGATTGCCTCTTCACTCAACCTTCCTAACCACACAGACGTTCTGATCGATACTGTACAGACTCTGTGAGATGATTAATGGATGAAATCAATGAATTTTCCTGATCAGTCACCCAGATTAAATTGAGAAATTTATAGTGGCTGCTGTGTGCCTTGACTGTAAGGCACACGCTGAGGATTCCTGTGGTTTGATCAATGGCCGTCCTGAAGGACAAAGCTTTTTTCTTTGTTTGATATGGCATTTTCATTTGTAACAAAACATCACATGCATAAAATATGAAGATTCACATCCCTTTTTGCACAGGAAACTTAGCACTGAAGTGGTAATAAACAAAAACCTGAATATACACCTGTTGGGTAAAACACAAATATGAACCTTTGAGTCAGAGAAAAAAGAGAACAAACCAACAGATATTATTTTATACGATTTATAATGCTGGCTTCATCTTCAGTTAACTAAAGTTAAAGATACAGGAACTCCTACTTGATTCAGGCGTCAAGTTAATCATTGAGCTGTCCTTTAATGAAACCAAAGCTCTGTTGCCATTTCCTGTGTAATTCTCGACTGTTTGACTGGACGGCCAAAAAAACAAATGCTTGCTGTTGTTTGTTAGTGAAGCTGCTGGTGTGTGCAGACTTGGCCCTGCTGATGAGCTTGTGGACACATAGCTGAGGTAGATATTGCTGTGCTGACACGCTGACTGCACTCGCTCCCGTGGACCTTGAGCTTGAATTTACGAGCCTTTGAGGGCTCCTCAGAGACACACTCACTGTTAGTCAGGGATGGTTTATTCCCCTCTCGTCCACCTCTCTCCTTCCATTGTCCCTCACCTCTTTGTGCATTGTAATTGTTGAGGTGTCATCGGACTGCAGCGGCCCCACTTGTTTCGCAGTTCCTTCTTTTTAAGCGTTTTGGGATTAGCCGGCTACTTCAGCTGTGTAAACGGTTCTGTTTTGTCAGATACCTGCGAGGGTGCCAGATTGTGAGCTTTTGTTTCTTCAGCTGTGTTTTCCTCCTCTCATCTGAGCATCTTTGTGTTGCAAGGCTTTATAGTCTGCAGTGGCTTCAAAAGAGGTTTTGCCCTGGTGGTTTCTAGCACTTTACTCTCTGTATCTTGCCTTATAAT